CTCACTGCTCCTGGCTGCATACTGGGGGCGGGGAGGGGGGCTGCGCTGCGTTGCCGGCGGCCTTTCCCCTTGCTCACTCTCTCCCTTCCTGGTCTTGGGAGAAGACGGGATACTACGCACGGGGCGGGTGCTCCTTTGCCATGCTCCTGGCTGCATACCGTAAGGTTGCAAATATAAGCCACACTTTAACTTTTCACAGTCGGAATTTGGGGGGGAAAGTGAGGCTTATATTCAGGCCAATATGGTACTATAAAAGCTTATGAATTCTATTTTGAAAACACACCTGCAATGTACCATTTCCTTTTGTGGATGGTGATTCATAAAAAGCTCCATGATGGTGAAATGAAACAGTCATGAAAGGCCAAAGTAAGTTATATGAAAATACAATTATATGCAGCCCATATTCACTCTGGAGCAGGTCCCAGTATGTTCATTGGCCTTGCTCACTAGTAAGTGTATGTAGGCTAGTAGCCTTAGTATATTAACCAATCCTTTGAAATCCATTTTAAGTTCCTTTCACATGGCTGTATGCATTCCATCATGCCCTGTGTAAATGCCCATACATGAAGGGATGGGGTTCGTTTTGTTAGCTCTGCCTCAAACACTGCTTGGTTGTCATGTGCACAGGATTTTATGCCTGCCCATCTAACTGTATGTAAACTAGCTTCCTTCCGGTCATATATCCCCCCCCTTGTGAACAGTATTGTGGGGGGGGAGTGGGGCTGAGAGTGCTGAGCTCCAGCCCTGTTGCTGACACCCTCCACAAGTTGGAGGGCAAACCTCTGAACGCCCTGTACTCATAAAGCCTCTCCATACAATTTAAAACCCTGATCACAAATGATTATGCCTTAATAAATATATTCGTCAGTGAGGTACCACACGGCTATGCTGCTTTTCCTGCAGATGGCAACCCCTCTGATTGTATGGACACAGTGAATCACACTCCTATCCTTTCTATCATTTATCCCAGGTCTATAAAGCAGGATATAAGTCCTTTATGATCAAATGGGTCCTGCAACCTTCCTTTTGGTGACCCAAAGCCCTATGAACACATTAAAGGAAATGCAGCCGATCTGCCAATATTTTTATTACAGTAATAGCGTTGGGAGGTACAAAGACCCTGCTGGAAATGGGTGACGATCCAATGACTTTACTATGTTAATTTGTTGGTGTTGGTGTTGTTTTAAAGCCTCCCATGTCTAACGCAAGAAAAGAAGTCATCATGCAAGCCTTTCGAAAGCTAGACAAGACCGGGGATGGGATTGTCACCATTGAAGATTTACGAGGAGTCTACAATGCAAAACACCACCCCAAGTACCAGAACGGGGAATGGTCTGAAGAGCAAGTTTTCAGGCTGTTTCTGGATAACTTCGATTCGCCTTATGATAAAGACGGACAGGCAAGTGAAATATTGCAGGTTGACAGGAAGGTGGCGCCTTTGTAACGTTTAAGGGTTTTGCTTTAAAAAAAACAAGACAGTTGGCACAATAATTACACACAGTGCAGAAAATTAAGCATAGACAGAGCCTAGGACTTGCCGATCAGAAGGTCAGCGGTTTGAATCCCTGCAACGGGGTGAGCTCCCGTTGCTCGGTCCCTGCTCCTGCCAACCTAGCAGTTCGAAAGCACGTCAAAGTGCAAGTAGATAAATAGGTACCGCTCCGGCAGGAAGGTAAACAGCGTTTCCGTGCGCTGCTCTGGTTTGCCAGAAGCGGCTTAGTCATGCTGGCACATGACCCCTGTACGCTGGCTCCCTCAGCCAATAAAGCGAGATGAGCGCCGCAACCCCAGAGTCGGTCACGACTGGGCCTAATGGCCAGGGGTCCCTTTACCTTGACCTTTACTAGCCATGTTGCAGGTGGATGCAGACTGGCTTCTGAATTCCAGTTGCTGGAAACCACAGGAGGAAGCTATTGCTTCCTGGTCCTGCGTGCAGGTTTCTCACAGGCACCTGGCTGGCCACCGTGAGAACAGGATGCTGGACTAGATGGGCCTGATCCAGCAATCTCTTCTTATGCTCTTGCTCTTTAATAAACATTAGTTGGTTGGGTGGGGAACGGGATATGTGAACTCCATGGGGTTTGACCAGTGAGCAGGAGTGGAGGAGACAACCTTTGTGTTTGTATGCCTTAACATGCAAAATTCCTATGGCTTTTACATCCCACTTTTTTTTACCATTATCCTTCAACAACTGTTTTCTATGTTCCAGTGCCCTGGGACTCTAAGGAGGATCAACGCACTGATTGCTCAATGTGCCTTTTACTAACAAGGCCTTCCATTGCAAATAATAGCTGGATGACCCTCATAATGTGTTCTTTGCTGTAGGGAAAGGGAAAGAAGGACTCCATAATGGGAATTCCCATCTCAGGTTCAGCTTTTTATTTTCTGCTGTCTTGGTCTCCACCTTTCTCATAAGGTTCCTTCTGAAAACCGGATGCCTTCTAGATGTAGTTGGACTACAACCTCCATTGGCTCCAGACAGCAGGACTCAGTGGTGAGGGATGATGGGAGTTATAGTCCAAAACATCTGGAGGGAAAGGCAACAATACATATTCTGTCACAAGAGACCAGGGGACACACTCTGTCACAAGAGACCAGGGCCCTGCGGGACTTGACATCTTTCCGCAGGGCCTGCAAGACAGAGCTGTTCCACCAGGCCTTTCGCAAGGGCACAGCCTGACTCCCTCCCTCGGCAATCTTCGCGGAGCTCTGGCCCAATGGTTGCCAGTGGCTTGAATTAATTAATTTTATAATGAATGATTTTAGAATGTTGTTTATTCTGTACTTCTGTAGTGTTTTATTGTTGTTAGCCGCCCTGAGCCCGCTTTCGGCTGGGGAGGGCGGGATATAAATAAAATTATTATTATTATTATTATTATTATTATTATTATTATTATTATTATTATTATTATTCCATGTGGAGCAATTTCCTTCTTGATTTCTTGTCTGTGGTAACATGCTCCAGGCGAGACAAATGAAGATATTAATTTTCCCCCCCTTTACAATTCCTCTACTTTAGGTTACACCAGAAGAATTTATGAACTATTACGCAGGTGTCAGCGCTTCAATAGACACAGATGTCTACTTCATTGTGATGATGAAGAACGCTTGGAAAATCTGATGTTGTTATTGTAATGCAAAGTGCTGCTGCTGCTGCTGCTGTCATTGTAAGCATCTCCTAAGCCTCATCATATACAGGACAGCGCTGCTGTATTCAGAGCAGTAACCAGCTGCACCATTCCTAGGAGTGAATTAGAAGAAGCAATAGCCAAAATTATCACCGCGCCTATTATTTTGGGAAGACTGATCTCACTGAGGAACTGTGCTTTTTGTTTCAGCAAACAGGGATTCCTAATGTAACAAATGTGAACAGGGGAAAGGAGGACAGAAGTACTGCTTGAATCAGGGATGACAAGCCCTTCCTCCACCTGCTGCTTTTCCTCAACTCCTTTCCCTGCCCCCAGTTTCCTAGCCTCATTACTACCCCCTCAGTCAGGCTCTGAGATCAGTAATAAGAGGGGGAAACAATATCTGGGGAGGGGTTGCCGGAAGAAAAGTGGTGGGTGGGCAAGCATCACCCCTGAAATTCCTCCCTGTACATTATTCAGCAAACACGAGGTTGGGAATGCTGGGTTGCATCCAGTGATGGTTTTGCCTTAGCGCAGGGGCGAGGAAGCGCTTCACACTCCCCAGGGCCACACTCCCTTCTGGCCAACCTTCCAGGGGGGCCACATGGCAGTGGTGGGTGGAGCCAGAGGCAAAAGTGGGTGGAGCAACAAGTGAAGAAGTTACCTTTGTATGCAGCAGGCTAGAGTCTGCACACACACCCACACAACCCTCTTTATCCTCTAGTCTAGTACTCTTTATCCTTGGTTTTCATATAATTTTTGTTTTCAGGTAAGCTGGAGATGGTCATTGAATGGGTGCCAGAAGTTGAGCCAGGGGTAGGAACCAAACCAGGGGTGCTGAGCTAATGGTTTGGGACCAGGAAACAAGCAGAGAGCAATGAAAGACCTATCATTTCCTAAGCAAAGTTCTAGCCTTAACATGAAATCTTTATAGCCTTTCTTGTAGAGGATAGTCAGTGGCTGGCCTGGGAGAACATGGAGTTATACCAGGGGTAGGCAACCTAAGGCCTGGGGGCCAGATGCAGCCCACTCGCTTTCTCAATCTGGCCCACGGACAGTCCAGGAATCAGCATGTTTTTACATGAGTAGAATGTGTGCTTTTATTTAAAATGCATCTCTGGGTTATTTGTGGGGCACAGGAATTCGTTCGTTATTTTTTTTCAAAATATAGTCCGGCCCCCCACAAGGTCTGCGGGACGGTGGACCGGCCCACGGCTGAAAAAGGTTGCTGACCCCTGCTCTAGTCAGACAAACAAGAGGCATTATCAGAGCTGGAGGACATTTTCATCCAGGCAAAAAAACACCTGGGGTTGGAAGCAAGGTCAGTGAAGGGTCTGGTCTGAGGAGACGAGTGTGAGGCCCAGGGAGAATGTGAGGGCCAGATAGAAAAGCCTGTAGGGCTGCATTTGCGGTTCCCCACTCCTGACTTTGTGCATCAACAAGGCAGGGCACCTGAATTTTGTTGATCTCTCATACCCACTTAATTTCCCTCTCCACTGAAAAGCTGTTCCTGAGGATTGTGGGGGACCCACTTGTCAGCATGGGGACTGATGCACAGGTTTGTGGTAGGTGAGTGGAGGGCAGAACAGTAAAAATGGGGTGCTTCGACTTGTGCAAGCAGAAGTAGGTAAAGGTAAAGGGACCCCTGACCATTAGGTCCAGTCGTGGCCGACTCTGGGGTTGCGGCGCTCATCTCGCTTTATTGGCCGAGGGAGCTGGCGTACAGCTTCCAGGTCATGTGGTTAGCATGACTAAGCCACTTCTGGCGAACCAGAGCAGTGCATGGAAACACCGTTTACCTTCCCACCGCAGCGGTACCTATTTATCTACTTGCACTTTGATGTTCTTTCAAACTGTTAAGTTGGCAGGAGCAGGGACCGAACAAAGGGTCCCCCATCACGGGGATTCGAACCGTTGACCTTCTGATCAGCAAGTTCTAGGCTCTGTGGTTTAACCCACAGTGCCACCCGCGTCCCTTGCAAGCAGAAGTACTTTCTGCTAAAGCAAAGCCTGTGTTGAAATGCAACCCACTCTGATTGCTGAAGCCACAATTAGTTTCCCCCCAAGAAGACGGGCACCTGAAGTAAAAAAGACGAGTGATGAAATCCTTGCCAGAGTGCATCTTTTGGTTTTTACCTCCCATTTCTCCTTTTGCATATGGAATCTGCTTTGGCTCAGAAATCTATGTGACCCCCTTGCTTCCAAAGTCCCTGGATTTATACAGATTTTTATGGTCCAATATGTCAGCAAAACAATTAAATGGGCTGTTGGTAGGATGACTCATTGCTTTTCAGTGAGGCAGGGAGGAAAGAGAGAAAAACCACTTCTGGTACTCCTTAGTAATGTCAAGTGCATATGAATTAAAACTGCATTCACTGGGTAACACTGATGCCAAGAGTTTACTTCATTTTCATTTTCAAACATACATAAAAAAAGAATGTAAAACATTTTCAAATACCTGAGACCTTTTTCACCAGTAGAAAGATGAGCACATATACATTCTAGCAAATTCTAGCATATCTGTATACGTCCGGGTGCGTCTGTGTGTTTATGTTTATATACACACACAAACACACACATACCGGTATATATTAGGAGCTGAATGTGCCCCTTCAGGCATTTCTATCTGGCCCATAAAGTCAGAAAGAATATCCATATGCTGCAATAAAAACCACATAGTAATCTTTATATCCAACCCAATAAATCTTCAGCAAAATCTTCAGCAGCAAAAACATATCACCAGTAAACAGCAAATGATTGGAATGTGGCTGAGCAGATACACACTGGATTGCACTGTCAGAATCTTTGAATGGCCTTGTGAGAAATTAAGCAGCAATTCATGACAGAATTCAAGTTTTAACTGTTGCTACAGTAGCAGGCAATGAATTGATAGCTGTATTAACCAGTACATATCAAATGCACCAGTGAAGTAACATATGTAACCACGAGTTATTCACACAACACACAATTCATACACAGAATTCATTGCTGAAGTTGCGATGCCAACCACTAAGAGCTGTTGTGCTTAGGCTCTGCTTGCAGGCACCTGTTTGGCCACTATGAGAACAACATGATGAACTAGATGGCCGAATCCATCAGGGCTGTTCTTGTGTTCTTAAGAGGATTAGACAATTTAATAAAGGGCATATCCATCTATCAAAGCTATGTTGATCAGCCAGGAGCCACCTTTGCAATAATTAAAAAAACCCTACACAATTCAACAGCATGACATGTGCCAGACCGATTTGGAACAGAGCTGTTAAAACATCCAAAATATTTCGATTGTCAGCCACTCTTTTCAGGATTACTTGAGAACTGGATTTTTGCAGCAAGGCTAACCCCGCCCACCCCCCCACCCCGAGTGTGTACAAATCATTGGCAGCCTCTCCCACGGAAACCCCATTTTGACGAACATGCTCTTGTGCAACTTTTTGGCTGTTTCTCCACAAAAGTCAATTGAGGTGGTGGATACAGCCAATGGGTGTCCTAAAAACTCCAAAGCGGTGCAATCCAGTATTCTGGAGGTGCAGACTTGTCTGGGTTTAATGAAATCTCTGCAAACATCCCAGTGTTTCGTACACATCAATGATTTTAGAATGCAGCCCTTATTCTGGCAAGTCTCCATTGAAAAAACAGACAAAGCACTATTGTAAGTACCTGTTCTTTCCAGAGCATTTTTACTGCATTGCTCAGAAGAAAATATTTTCAGTGACTCGTGTTTATAGCAACAGCAACTTGACCTTAGGGAAATATCTAAATGCAGACATAAGAACACAAGAAGACCTGCTGGATCAGGCCCTGTGGCCCATTGAATCCAATATCCTGTTCTGAGCTCAAGAACACTTTCCCCTCCTGCAGTTTGCAGAAGCTGGTATTTGAAAGCACTGCTGCCTAAGACTGGAGGCTAGGCTAAAATATAGGTTTTTCAGATCCCACCTAAAATATAGGTTTTTCAGATCCCTTTTTCGCTTTGAAGCAGGCGGTGGTTCTGCTGGTGCAGTTTCCCAGTGTTGCTACAATGATGAGAAAACCAGAACCTGTCCCTGACCCACGTCAATTACAAAGCTGAGCAGCAAACTTCAGAGCCAGGGCAGGGCAAGAGATGCCAGCATGGAAAACCAGGTCATGTAATTCAGCCTTGCAAACAAGTCCACAAAAGTTACTAGCCTGGAAAAAGGTTCTAGCCCACCCAGGGATGGCTGCGGGCAGGATTCCTGCATTGGATTAGATGACCCTCACAATTCCAACTCTGCAATTCTATGATTCTGTGAAAAGTCGCTTGCTGATGGCTGACAGAAGCTGGACACTGAGGACAAGACTTATTTCCTCGAGCAACCCCCAAGGTTTCCATGCAGGGAGCACTCGCCTGCATGGAATTCCGAGTCACCTATGGCTACCAGGCTAGTGGCTAACTTCAAGGCTGGTGTAATCTTCTCACTGATCTGGTCAATGCCCAAAAATGATACTTGGAGAGCCCAATCATGCCATGTGCCAGAACTGCTAGTTTTGAAAATTCCCCTTGTTTTCGAAAAAACTCGCCATTGTGACATAGGCCTCTTCTTTATTTGGAACTGTTACATCTGCGTAAGCTTGAAGACAGTTATCAGACTCAGGTCCAGGCAGGATAGCAGCGGGATGCGTAGAAGAACTGGCATGGTTGAGGAGAGCATCACTACCGCCATCTTGGTCTCCAATACCACCTTTCTCGTATGGGTTGGCATTGATTAATGTGTCATCCTCAGGAGCGAGGAGTCTTCTGTCCACATGCTTATCCAGTGTCTCAGCTGGCCACATTCCTTCATATGCCAGAGGCAGTTTCAGCCACCCATGGTTGATATGAACCAGGTTCTTTTGTTCCAGTCCTTTCCCCATCTTTTCTGGAACATCAAAATCCCAGGCAAGCAGCAAACGTTCTGACTTGGCCCGAATGCTGTCCACCTTATGGATGGGGACGTGTTCCAAACTCTCGGGACTGAAGAAGCTTACTTCGGAATTCTACCGGGATACAGGGATATTCCGTGTGAAAGGGGAGGGGTGGGAAGTCAAAAAGAAAAATATAAGTGACTGTTATAGTTTTTTGTGATGTAAAATTGTTAAAACCTTTGAAAAATCTAATAAAAATTAATATGAAAAAGAGAAAGAATGGACTGCACGACTTCAAACTACAGGTGGAGAAGGCTACTTCCAAATGTGAAAGCAAAACAAAGCTGTGTGCAAATGGAATCTAACATCTCATGACAGAGGGGGCGGTATAGCTAAGCGCTTTGACTGCTGTATAGATTTATAATTTGTTGGGAGTTTTTAACTTGAAGGAGCAGGTCATTCTACCACCTCAGCATTCTGTCTTCTGAGTCTATGGAATGAGTAGGCCTCTATGGACAGCAGGGCCGGATTTAGGTTTGATGAGGCCCTAAGCTACTGAAGGTAATGGGGCCCCCTATATGTCCAGCTGTCCTTTGTCAACAACAAATTGCCGCTGTTTTTTTGTGTTGAATATATGCTATATGGTAATTTATGGACCTAATAGGTATCTCATATATATATATATATATATGCTTTCGTAGATTTTCACGGGTACAGGAATGCAGGTTTTGGTGTCCTCGGGTGTCTTCCCGTGTAAAAGTTGGGGTGTCTAGGCGACGTTTCGACGAGGTCTCACTCGTCATCTTCAGGCTGGTGCTTTCGGCTTCTTGTTACTGGAACAGAGCAGGATCTCAGTGTTTGAGTTCCTATAAATACTGTTGAGGAGGTGTGGTGTATAGCCTCCAATGTTCTGGGCAGAGAGGAAGTTCCCAGGCTAGTGTGCCTTTTCTTCTTTTGTTCCTTAATTACTTGAGGGATATCTTGAGTGATTTCTTGAGTGATATCCTGAGTACCACTTAGGTGGGTCATTAGGTGTGGATTAGTTGCTAAAGCCTTCGTGTCTTGACCTCTTGAACTTTGTGAAGAGTTTTTCTGAGAAGATGGCTGTACTGCACTTAGTTGTGCTCTGGCCAAGCCAGTGCAGTACAGCCATCTTCTCAGAAAAACTCTTCACAAAGTTCAAGAGGTCAAGACA